AAAAAAGGAAGACTGAAACAAAGGAAAGGGACAGAGGGAGGAATGAAAAAAAAGGGAAGAGAGGGAAGGAAGGAAGAATAAGAAAGAAGGAAAAGGGAAGGAAAAGAAAGGGAAAAAAACACCAAGGAGAGGGAAGAAGAACAAGAAAAAAGAGCAAAATTTGGCTGGATTTGACTGCCTTTTCTTCACCCGCTAGACTTTGAGTCTGGTGTCTTCCTGCAATTTTTAATCCCCTCTTTGCGCGTCTCAACGTGGCCCCCTTGAGCAAGCTCAGAGGAACTGCAGCCCTTAAGTTTTCCTTAAATCCTCCCCTTCCCACCGGCCCCTGGAGCAGAGGTGGGATTCAGCCGGTCCGGCCTGTTCTGGCATCCTGGTAGCGGAAACTTTGACTAGTCCAGAGAACCGGCAAATACCACCTCTGGCTGGCCCCGCCCACCCCGCCCTTACCTCTCTTATATTCCCTTGTTTTCTTAGCTCAGCTGATTCTCCGTGCCTCCGCTGAGCTAAAAAAAAATAGCTCACCTCACTAGCTCGCTAACTCACTGTTCACACAGACAGCGGTTTTCAAGTACTGCGCGCGCACGATAGAACCGGTAGGGGGAAAAAATTTGGAAACCCACCATTGTCCTGGAGGGCCTTTTAAACAGGATGGCATTGAATAGGGTGGCAAGAAAGGAGATTTGACCCCCAACGTGTTTCCCCCCTTCTCTCTCTCTCTCTCTCTCTCCTTCTCCCCTTTCTTCCCCGCTTCCAGGTGTAAATATTGCGACCGCTCGTTCAGCATCTCATCCAACCTCCAGCGCCACGTCCGGAACATCCACAACAAGGAGAAACCTTTCAAATGTCACCTCTGCAATCGATGCTTCGGCCAGCAGACCAACCTGGACCGACACTTGAAAAAACACGAGCACGAAAACGTCCCAGGTAAGCTGAAGATTTCACCGCGGCGTCCGCACTGTCCCCGTCCCGCCCCTTCTCCAATAAAAATGTTGCTTGCCGCTCTGGTTTTGTTGTGGTTTGCCGGCAGCCTGTGTAGATGGCAGTGGGGAAGAACGGGGACCAGTCCGGGAGTCCGGGGAGGACTCATTCAATGCAGGGATGGGGCCAGGACCACCTGGGATCGGGGTGTTGCCTTCGGAGCCTTCAGAGTCTGACGGCAGCAAGGCCGAGGATCCAGGGGAGCCTGTTCCCAGTGTGCGTATGCGCAGAGCTGCTAGAAGACGAGAGCAGCTGAAACAAAAGGGGCGACTCAGGAGTAAGGCTTGGAGGTGATTGCCCCACCCCATTAAGGGATAAAGGACAGGCAAAGGTGACGAAACCTTTGCAGGAAGCAACGTCCGGCTCCCCCCGCCTGGTCTTCATATCATCCTGGACAAGTCAAGCAAATTTTTGACTTCTCCTGTCCTTTGTGGTTCTGCTCAATTTCTGGTCTAATCAATACCAAGGAGGATGAAGGCTTATCTTCTCCCATGGTCCCATCATGCATCAAAATGTCCATGTCCATCTTCAGTTTTTAACCTCCTCCTCTTCCTTCTCTTCTTCTTCTTCTTCCTCCTCCTTCTTCCCCTTTTCCTTCATCTCTTCCTCCTCCTCCTCCTCCTTCTTCCTCCTGCTTCTCCTCCTCCTCCTCTACTACTTCTTCTTCTTCCTCTTCCTTCTTCTCCTCCTCCTCCTTCTCTTCTTCTTCCTCTGCATTCTCCCCATTCTCCTCTTCCTCCTCCTCCTCCCCTCTTCCTCCTCTTCTTCTTCTACTTCCTCCTCCTCTTCTTTTTCCTCCTCTTCCCCATTCTCCTCCTCCTCTTCCTCCTCCCCTCCTGCTTCTCCTTCCTCCTCCTCCTCCTCCTCCTCTTCTTCCTCCTCCTCCTTTTCCTCCTCCTCCTCTTCCTCCCTCTCCTGTTCCAGTAAGCCAGCATGCCGGAGTCATTACAAACCACTTGGGGAACAACACATCTTCGCCCACTTCCGAATCAGAACACCAAGCACTTTTAGACGAGAAAGAGGACGCCTACTTCTCTGAAATCAGAAACTTTATTGCCAATAGCGAGATGAGCCAATCGACGGCTTTAGTGGAGAAAAGGTAGGCAAGATCACCCAGAAAGGTGTCGCTTCTCTCTTTAACCTCAGTGGGCGATCAGGGTTCCTGGTGGATTTGACTCTTTCCACAAGCGTCGTAAAATGGGGCAGAACTCACTTAACCAACTTCTCGCTTAGCAACATAAATTGTGGTTGTAAGTTGAGGATGTACAGCAGGGGTGGACTGCCACCAGTTTAACAACCGGTTCTGTGAGCGTGTGCTTCGCTAGAACCAGTTCGAACCAGCAGAAGCCCATCACTAGTGTACAGTTCTCTCTACCCCTGACTTTTCTAATTGGAAGAGAAAGTCCATTTCCCTTCAGTCCCCAAGGAACATCTCCGTTGGATCTCACACGATTCAGGCAGTTCAAAGGAGCATAAAGATTTATTGCAAGTTTAAGCTCTCTATGAGAATCTGGCCAACTAACAATCAAAGGGAAACGAGCGGGAGATAAGAAAGGCATTCAAAAGTTGGCTGGACTTAGACTTCTTGTGGTCGCGCAGGGACTCATTTGACTTATGACGCGTTTGACACCTCCTTCCCTCGGCCTCAGCCTGGTGATCTCCTCCATGGCCTTCAGAAGGCTTTGTCGACCCTTGTCTTTAAACCTTTGCGCTCTCTCTCAACCAGGCCCGAAATCCAGAACGCCGACGGCGCCACCCACGGTCTTCCGAACGACAAAGTAGAAGACATCGATGAGGAAGAGGATGAACTGGAAGAGGAAGACGATGACAGCCTGACGGGGAAGTCTCAAGATGAGACGGTGTCGCCCACCGCCGAGCCACAAGGAGGGTATGAGGAGGAGGAGGAAGATGAGGCCGCGTCCCTCACCATGAGCTTTAACCGTGCCCAGAGGTGGGTTTCCACTCTCTCGGTGGGAGGGAGGGGACCCTCGCTTTTCTCTTCTCATTCCACGCCCCCATGAATGAGTGATTTGGGACCGGCTAGAACGTCAAACTCCAGAAATTCACGAGAAAAGGGCTCGCCAGATTCTTTCAGCTGCTGGTCAACTCCAAGATGTTCCCATGGTCCACAGAAATGCATGACCCATGGTCCTCAGAACTCTAGGATCATGGCAGTTTGAGCGAGCGACAAGGCCCGATCGGGGCGGGGGGGGAATATCCACGACACGGAGAATCGCTCGAAGTCGGGGAGGGGCGTGTACAGGCTCATGCCGCTACACCCAACGTCTGCTCCATGCTCAGCGATCTTGTACTATTATGGCTGTGTCTGTCTGCCCGTTGTCCGTCCATCTGCCTGCCTGCCTGTCTGTCTGTGTCGCTCACCCTCCGTCGTTTCGCATGCAGCTCTACGGAGTCCCCTCCCCTTCCTGGCATCTGCACAACCCCCTCCCCGAGTGTGTTGCAGCCGGATGTAACTAACAGGTCGCCCCTGCTTTCCCTCCCTCCCCTCCCCGGTGCTTGGTACAGGTGTACTGAGGAGAACGAAGCCGGCTTGTTAGATTTGGAACAGATGTCGGAATTTGGGAAGGGGCTGGACCTCCACCAGGCCTCCGAGGAAGCTTTTGACGTTAAAGCTGTCTATAATTCCACCTTAGATTCGGAGGCACTAAAACAAACTCTGTTCAGGCAGGCCAAAAACCAGGTAGGTTCGATCCTGAGTTTTGTAGCGAGGCTCGCCAAATTTCCCTGTGGACCCCAAAACATTGAGATCCCCGAGACACCCCCCCCCCCTCCGCTCCCCCCCCCTCCGGTCCTTGCCAGCAATGCCAATTTCCATCCAGATTAAGGAGCAGCTGTAATTTCCCCCCCCCCCCCCCCCCCCCCCCCCCCCCCCCC